TGAGGACACCCTTGACAGTGACCAAGTCCGCCACCGACACTGACGCCACGACGTAGTCAATGAGCGACCCCGCGCCTTTCTCACAGGTGGCATTGACATCAGGGAGGACAATGGTGCCCCCCGCACCCTTGACGAACGAGTTGCCCTCAAGAGCCTTCGGGGTGAGATCCCAATCAGCAGCAATGATCCAAGGGTCAGAAACTGAAGCTAAAAAGGCTCGCAGGGAAGCCCACCTGTCAATATTAGAACCACCGAACCCGTGCTTGGGCAAGAAATAGGCCTCACAACGAGGTTGCCCGCACGCAGATGCCAAACAGTCGGCACCCAACCACGGCAGGGGCCCTTCAGGCGTTCTTTGGTGATGAGCGCCCTCTGCCGATCGAAGGATGTGGTAGCAAGATGAGGCCGTGCCAAAATCCACTCTCCTCCACTCGTGCCCTCTGCAGACCGACCAGTGCCCACAGCAACACAGGCCGATAACTTCCAACCGGCAACGCCCGAGCTGGCACGATACTGGATGAGCTTCGCCTCGGGGACGTGAGTCTCCGCAAAGGCCATCATGCCATACTTATTCTTATTCTCAACTACAAACTTGTGGATGCGTGGCCCCCACCCCGTGACATTCGCAAAGAAGAGCGACGCCACGGCACGATGGGGGGGGGGTTCTCCTTCGCCGAAGTAGACGGAGGCGACGACCGTGGAACTGCTGACGCCACGCAGCTCGCCCGTGCCTCCATCCCCGAAGAGCGGGCCACGTGGGGGCTGCCTGCCATCGAAGTGGACGGAGCCAAACTCGACGGAACAGAAGACGCCACACAGCTCGCACTTGTCTCCATCCCCGAAGAGCGGGCCAGATGGAGGCTGCCTGCAATCGAAGTAGACGGAGCCCACCTCGACGACGCAGAAGATGCCACACAACTCGCTCGCGCCTCCACCCCCGAGGAGCGGGCCAAATGGAGGGCGCCTGCTCTCGAAGTAGACGGAGACAACATCAACGGAGCTGACGATGCCACGCAGCTCGCACGTGTCCCCACCCCCGTAGAGCGGGCCAGATGGGGGCTGCCTGACACCGAAGTAGAGGTCGCCAACTCCGACGCCGCTGAAGATGCCGCACAGCTCGCTCCTGTTCCCATCCCCGAGGAGCGGGCCAGGTGGGAGCTGCCTGCAAGCGCGCCCTGGGTAGAGCTGGGCGCGGAAGAACCAGATGGCTCCAGCCCCAAGCCGAAGCCGCCAACATCGCTGAAGCGCATGTCCTCGAAGGGGTCGGCGTCCACATCATCCAATGTGGTGCTAACCTCTCTTAGAGGGAGGGGCCTTTGCACGAGGTGGGGGACTGCCGTCGCCGCTGCCACCAGGGCCAGGAGGGGCAGCTGCAACCCCCACATCAGCAGAGGACCTCGCGACATGGCTCGCCTTCGCTGCCGGCTTCTCGAGCCGTTCGCGTGCAGCCTGGACCTTGGAGGCTCGATCCTTGTCTGCAACAGGCTTGGCAGCTGGGGCGGGGGCCGCGGCCGCCGCCTGGGCCCCCCTCAGCGCGGGCGAAGCCCGCCGCGGCGCCGCCTCCTGCATTCGGGGGCGCGGGCGGGGGGCCCTCAGCAGCACCGCCTGGCGCCGCCGCCTCAGGGCCTGACACCACCTCCTCCACGCGCCGCCGCTTAAGGGGCGCCTGAGCTGCAGCCAACTTGACCCCCTCGAGGGCCGTCCGGACGGCGTGGATGACCTCCGTGGCCTTGTTCTTGGCATCGTCCATGGCCGTGAGGGCCAACAGGGCTATCCCGTTCAGGCACGGGGGCGCGGACGCCCTCTCGTGCAAACACCTTGAGCCAAAATGGCTACGGAGGAGGAGGAGGAGGAGGAGGAGGGGGAGGAGGGGGAGGAGGAGGACGAGGACGAGGAGGAGGAGGAGGAGGAGGAGGAGGAGGAGGAGGAGGAGGAGAAAAGGAGGAGGAGGAGGAGGAGGAGGAGGAGGATGAGGAAGGAGGAGGAGGAGGAGGAGGAGGAGGAGGAGAGGGGGAGGAGGAGGACGAGGAGGAGGAGGAGGAGGAAGAGGAGGAGGAGGAGGAGGAGGAGGAGGAGAAGGAGGGGGAGGGGGAGCAATACCTCCTCTTCCTCCTCCTCATCACCCTGGAGGAAATACAGACCTTCACGCTCCAGGCCCCAGGAGGAGGAGGAGAAGCAGGATGAGGAGGATGAGGAGAAGGAGGAGATGGAGGAGGAGGAGCTTGGTACGTTGGACGGCGGAGAAAACGAAGGAGGAGAAGGAGGAGAAGGAGGAGGAGACGAAGGGGGCGCGAAGCGCATGATTGAATGCATCGCAAAACGCTCGAGAAAAAACATCACTACAACGCTATGGGGGACAGGCATAACGCATTTTTCGTGTGAAAAAAGGAAAGTGTAGACACTATAGGTTCGTAACGCATGTGTTTGACAACAACTTGGAAACTACTAAAAAAGCTCAAACATACCTAGACCGCAACTTGCATACCTAGAACCACTTCAGAAATTAACTTCACCGTTGCTTGCACACTGTAATTCGCGCTTCCATGAACAAGCCAAACACAAAAATCCAACTTCCGTATCTTCCACCACTTGCACCGTTCAAGTTATGTAAGACCTGGCAGGTCAAGGTAAGATATGGAAATTCAAATTACTATTTTGGAATATAAAGTTAACATGATCATGTTAAGATCAAGTTAAGATCCACAACTTCCCCACATCTACTCGAACTAGCTGTGGGCATCCCAGTATTGTATTACATGCGTGCGGTGGTCGTTGCATTCCATTGCATTTCTCATCGTATGCCACTTTGGCTCGAGAGCTTACGGTTGCGACGCCTAGACCAATAACGTAGACACTAGCTGTGCGCTCTTGTATACATACACACATGGGGGATCCCGAACGCGTTGTTGATGGCATGTATTTCGAGTTCAACATCCAGCTGTCGGCAGATAATTGATCTGAACACCTGAATGGGACGGTTGTCACAAAAATGGTCACATGCAGGTTTCATCTCCGTCGGGGAACGGGGGTCCCAGTAGTCCAATTCTCGGTCCCGACGGTCACGTGGGGCCCAGAGGCGCTTCAAGGCCCAGCCTCGGCAGATGGAGGCAACGTGAGACAACGCGCCGCTGATGAGGCCCGCCCCGAGAAGCGCCTCAAGTCTGCCGCGAGTTGCGAAACAGAAGTCGGCTCTCCGTTTTAAAGATCCGCCATCTGATGAGCCGATAATAGTGGATGATAGTGTTCCGACTAAGCTGCCGTCACGCTCTCTTCGTGCGGGCCTGAGCGAGCCAATTTTCCCCCACCGAACGGTGGCGGCCAGAGCATTGAGCCGCCGAGTTTCGCTGAGCAGAATATGTGCCAGAACGTGGGGACTGCAGAGATTGGACATCCCGCTTAATCGGTTGTATGATGGACATCCCCAGAGATCGATAATAATTTTGAGTGGTGAACCGATCGCATCAGTTTCATTCGTTTGATGTTCAACCAGCGCGGCGTTGAAGGAGGGAAGGGTGGAGGAGGAGGAGGAGGAGGAGGAGGAGGAGGCGGAAGAGGAGGAGGAGAAGGAGGAGACGGAGGAGAAGACGGAGGAGAAGACGGAGGAGGAGGAGGACGAGGAGGAGAAGGAGGAGAAGGTGGAGGAGGAGGAGGAGGAGGAAGAGAAGCAGGACGAAGGAGGAGGAGGAAGTTCGATGGATGAGGAGGGATCAGTGGCAGGAGGGAGGTGGAGACGGAGGAGGAGGAGGAGGAAATGAGAAGGAGGGAGAGGCGTCAGCAATTTTTCAGAACCCAACGACGTTTCGAATGTTCACTGCCCCCCCCCCCCCCCCCCCCCACCACCACCACGGCCTTCTTTGCAGCAGTACTCAATCCAGCTCGAGTGAATGTTTTCAAGCCCGCCTTGACCTTTGGAACACCTGGCTATTTTATAAGGAGGGAAATTGGGAGGAGGGGAGACAATGGCCGAGGATGAATTGGGGTTCAAGGGAAGTGGGGGGTGGGATAGGAAGGGCACGCGAGGGGGGGGATCGAGGGCAGGAAGGGGAGAGGAGGGAAGGAAGGTGTGATGAAACATATGGAAGTGAAATGGTGGAAAAGGGCACGCAATGATGGAAACACAAAGAAGCGTAGCATACGGGAGGAAGAGAAGCAACAACAGAGAAGGCACAGGCAGCGGCAGCAATCGACGACGGCGAAATCACTCATTGGGCTGGCGCCGATCGAGTCGCTATCTCCAAATATCCCTCGGGCCGGCGCCGTCCCGCCTTTCTCACGGCCACGCGGCTGGCGCTACATGTAATATGTGAACATCCCCGCGCATTTTATCATTGCTGCTGCAAGTCACCCCCCCGTTAATGTGCAGCCCGCGGGAATCGAGGAGACACCATTGACCGCGCGCGGCGCGGCAATAAGTACGATGTGTTGATGTTATGATATGTAGCATTCGCATCGACCGTTGTTTTCGTTGTTCAGAACTGTCTTCGTTGTTTCAACATGTTTTTCGCTTTTCATGCTTAACATCGTCTTTCAACATAACGTAACACCTGCCATCGTTATATTTTCACGTCGAAGAGCCTCAGAGTACGGGTTCGTGCCTCGGGGATCCAAACCGGAGTAACCCCAGACCGCAGTTTTCCTGGATCCTTCGGGCGTCCCACCCTCCCAAGTCGTCGGGGCTGGGGGCAGCCAGGGGTAGCTAACTACGGGATCGTGCCTCGGGGACCCAAACCGGAATAATCCTGGACCGCAGTTAGCCTGGATCATCCGGGCTTCCCACCATCCCGCCTCGTCGGGGCTGGGGGCAGCCAGGGGTTGCTGCGGGTTCGCGCCTCGGGGATCCAAACCGGAGTAACCCCGGACCACAATTATCCCGGATAACTCGGGGGTCCAATCTGTTTACGACGCCAGCGCTGCGAGGGGCGGGAGGGCGATGAGCCGAAGGACGGACAGGGGCCGTGGCACAGAGGGGGAGCACGGGCGCGGCGCGGCCGCGCAGGCGCCTGGGAAGATCGGCTTGCCCGAGAGGAGCTCCCCGAGAATGCAGCCAACGCTCCACTGGTCAACACCTCGCCAGGGGCGGACGACAAGGCACGGGCTCAAAAGGCTTTTCCCAGAGATCCAAAATCAAGACGGAGGTTTTTCGCACAATTCGGCCCCTAGAGGCCCTCGCCGGGCCTCGGGACCGTCAAGAAACGACTCAGGATGAGAAACCAGTCCTGGGGAATAGGTCGAAACTCCCAGGGACCCCGCATTGAAAAAATCACGACGCCGGATCTCAAGGTTTTTACAGCGAAATCGCCTGAAGGTTAGCTCGCTTCGTCAATCTCTTCCCGAGTGCCGCGGCGGCGGTGCACAAAAATCCCTCTGTGGGGCACTGGCTGGGACTGACCGGCTCGCTACTGTCGTGATCGCCCTCTAGGACGGGCAGCTGTCGGCGCGCCCCATTAGAAGGTCTGGCTGCACGTACCGCAGTCAACCCATCTCGTTTGCGCCATTCCGCTTGGCCTCGTGTTTGGGAATCGCGAAAGGGAACGCCAGGAGGGGGACCGGTTCACTCAAGGGGGGGAGGGCGGCCAGCATGGAATCAAGAAGCTGGGTCGGAACGGCAAGTGGCTCGGATCGGACCGCATCAGCACCGAATCAAGATCTAACTGGATCGGCCACACCAGGATGCGCGACAGCGCGACGTAAGCATCGGGCCGCACTGATCGCCAGTTGTGTGGGAATCGAATCGGATCGGCTGGCCGAAATCGATATCGAACCGAATCGATCGGATCGAGATGCGAGATGGGGGTGTGATAACAAGAGTCGGCGGCGAGTCCAGGGAGGAAGTGAGAAAGGGCGGGCCTTCTCAGAAGGCTTGGAAGTCCACCGGCCTTCCGAGAAGTCATCCGCGCGCGTTTCCCGAAGACGCATGCAAAAGGTGCCTTCTGACACAGACATGCGACGTCCTGTTTTTGTTCAAGACGGGGCCTCTGGAAGTCCCGACCTCTGCCCAGGACCGTGGCTGTTCCTCCTGAATCCTTCTTGACGGCCCCGATGCCCCGCGAGGGCCCCCCAAGGCCGAAAATGGCCAAAACACCTCCCGCCCGGATTTTTCTGTACGACGCGATCATGTCTGGGGAGATGGCCTGCCCCCCCCCCGACCTCGCTCGCCGCGGGGCGGGCCCGGGTCCGCCGGCCGCGCGCCGCCAGCGCGCCGGCGGACGCGGCCCAAACCAGTGCATATCTCTCGAGGGCGGCCCTCCTGTGCGGCGGGGCCGGCACCAGCTGCAGCGGCGTCCGACGCCGCCCGCTCCCCCCCTCCCCGGAGCCCCTCGCGCTGTGAACAAGACCACGACGGGAGGCTTTTTGCTGTTTTCGACCTCCAGGGGCCCTTGCCGGGCCTCGGGGCCGTCAAAACACGACTCAGGACGAAAAACGAATTCAGGGGAATAGGTTTAGGTCGAGCATGTCCCCCTACAGATGGATTCGGGGCGAAACATGAGAAATGCGACAAACAAATCATAACATAGACAACACATACTAAAAACATCGTCTCCAGAGTATTTTTTGACTATTTTTGAATCTTCCTCCTGTGGAAAGACATGACGGATCTAAGAAGAGGTCTAGACCTCTGGGGGTCGACGTGACGAGCAAAATCACGACGAAGGGGGCCTGGGTCCCTCCCGTGCCCCCGGCCCCCAGTGCCTCTCCTTCGCGGGGCCCATGTCCTCCACTGGCCTTTTCCAGCCTCTCTACACACTCAGACCCCCTTCACGCCAAGAAAAAATCCCGACAGGAGGTGTGTCACCGTTTTCGGCCTCCGGGGGCCCTGACTGGGCTTTGGGACCGTTCAAACAGAACTCAGGACGAAAAGCCGGTCCCGGGGAGTGGGTCGAGACCTGGGGTCGACGCTATCAAAAAATCATGACGTCGGGAGTCTGGGTAAGGCGCAACCCAGACCCCCGACGTCATAATTCTTTACCGAAGCGTCCACCACCAGGGGTCTCGACCCATTCCCCGTGACTGGCTTGTCGTCCTGAATAATTTCTTGACGGTCTCGAGGCCTTGTAGGGGCCCCAGAGGCCGAAAACGAGGAACCATTTTTTTGCGTCGGCGGCTAGGCAGGGGTCGTCTTCGCTGACGGAAGAAGCTGACTAGACGGGACAACGCGGACCAGCACCTCGTCGCGCCTTTTTCACGACGCGAAGGGGGCTTGGGGAAAGGCATAAGGCGCAAGTTGGGCGCCCGAGTTATCCGGGGTAACTCGGGCCCGGGGCAACTCGGGTTCAGATTCCCGACAAACGAACCCGAGTCAACCCTGACCCCATTTCCCCCTGATGATTTGGGGCTCTGGACGCCCGAATTGTCCAGGGTAACTCGGACCCAGGGTAACTCGGGTTCGGATTCCCGAAAAACGAACCCGAGTCAGCCCTGACCCGAGTTACCCCTGATGATTCGGGGCTCTGAGCAGGCTCGCCCTGCGGCAGCCCCGCCCGCGGGCTTCGAGCGCGCCGCGCGATCGCCGGCGCGCCGCGACCGAACAAAAACCTTCCTCATGGCCCCCCGCTTGCGCTCCGCCCGGCCTGCGGGGCCCCGCCGCCTCGCCGAGGGGGGAAAAACCCACACACCCTCGGGCAGAGAAAAACTCCGGACGGGAAGTTTTTCGTAAATTTCGGCCTCTGAGGGCCCTCACCGGCCCTGGGGCCGTCAAAAAAACGACTCGGGATGAAAAGCTGGTCCTGGGAAACGGGTCGAGACCTGCAGATGTTGACGTGATGAAGACAACATGACGTCGGGGGTCTGGGAACGGGGCAGGACCAAGCAACAGGGCGGGCTCTGGCGAAGCGACGCAGCCCCGACCAGGGTCCCGCAAGCCCCGCCCTGCCAGGCCCAGACGCATCCGGCTGCTCCCACTTGTTTCGATGCGTGGGCCCCGGAGGTCCGGACCACTGCCCCCGGCCCGGAATTTCGCACCAAGTCATTTTTTTGACGCTCCCGAGGCCCGGCGAGGGCCCCCGAGGCCGAGGACTACCAGGAACCGCCCGCTCCGATTTTTATAAGAACATCGGATCTCTATGTATGGGCGCCTGAGTCCGGTGGGAGCCAGGACAAGTGGCCCAAAAGGGCCCCCAAGCTACCACCCAGCGTCCAAGGCCATCCATGCTGCATTTTGGGGGGCCTTGTCTGTCTGGTCGCGCTCCTATCCTTGTCGAATCCGTGTCGGACTCGTTGAAGCCGTGTCGAATCCACGTCGACTTCACGCAAAGTCCGCGTCGAGTCCGCATCGAACCCCTCGCCGGGCACAGGAAAAAATACCAATTCTGGGGACAAGCGAGGCCCCCAAAAGATGCAACGTAACCAAGGGGTGCTGCAGGGCCGCCCATGGAGACACTCAAACCGAAAGCAGACCGAACCGGCAGCGAAATCGAAGCCGATCGACACCGAAGCGAGCGAGCCTGGTCGAGACGGACGCAGCGACGCAGCCACGACGCAACAAACGACCCGACCGAACCACCGAACCCACCGAGCGCAGCCGACTGCGACGTAGCCGAGCCCACCGAACCATGGACGCCCTTGCTGGCTCTCCCCCGTGGCAGTCCGTCCGAGCGGCGGGGGGGGGCTAAGAACAGTCAAGCGGGCCCCGTCGAGGCCAGGCGATGGCCGAGGCGCCGCAAAGTCCTGCTTCTGAGAAGGCAGTGCTGTTCCAGTGCCACAGGTCTCTGACGTTGTGATGTTTTGTTTCTGGTGTTCCCCCCATTCCCAAACATCTGGCTGCTCCAATTTTTTCGACGCGTGGGCCACAGAGGTCCAGACCTCTTCTCTAGGGCTGGTTTTTCGTCGTGAATCGTTTTTTGCGCCCCCGAGGCCCGGCCAGGAGGCCGAAACCCAACAACAACCGCCCAATCCAATTTTTTCGGAGCGTCGGGCCTCTAGGTCTGGTGCTCTCCCTATCCGAGGAAGCGCCACATTGATCAGGGCGCGTGGATTAGCGACGGGGCGCGCGGGGTTGCGATTCCTCGATTGCTGAGCGGCGCTCGGAGGAGCGACGGCGGGAAACGCCGCGGCTTCGGGCACCTCGGGGGCTCGGGATCTCAAGACAAGAGCTCGGCCGAACTCCCCGCGTGCGCACACAACCGAAGAAAGGTTGGCGTCGTGCGCACGGTGGCAGGGGGAGGGGGGAAGACTTTCTAGAAAGATTAGATGGTGCTGGCCCTACATCTACGGATAAGGCCCGCGCCTTCTAAGAAGCAGGGGTGCTTCTAAGAAGCCTTGCCGCCTCCCCCCCTCCGCGCGTGGTCGAAAAGGATGAGGCAGAAATGGTGGGAGTCTGCGTAAAACGAAAGGGCGCGGGGGAGGAGGGCAGAGGCGGGTTGCTCCAGCGAGACGCGACGCGACGCGCAGGGCACTCCGCGCGACCATGGGCTCCTGCCGGTTCTCGCCAATTAATGTGTCATCGTGTGTTAGGCTCCCTGCCGCAGTTGCTTCGCAGTCGTGCTGTTTCCTTGCGTGGCCCCCTGGCCTATCCACCCCCTCCCACTGGGAGGCCAATGTTTCATCCATGTGGTCCCAGGTCCAGACGCGCCTCCCCGTGGCCGAATTGTAAGAAAAATCCGGTCTGGAAGCAATCAGTCCGCTGGGAAGCTGGGTGCCCCCACTGGAGCCAGTCCAGAATCTGCCCACCAGTTTTCTCGCAGAGTCCACCCTGGCCCGTTTCTGAGGATTTGTTATGTTTGTTTGTTTGTTTGTTTGTTTGTTTGTTTGTTTGTTTGTTTGCTTGTGTGTGGATTTCCAGGTGACAGAACGAGAGAACGCACGAGGGCGCCAGGCACTGCGTTTGAACTCGCGTCATGCCCCTCACACGGTGCCCACCGCGACAAGGACCTGCAAGGCGATTTGTTAGTTCGTTCGTTCGTTCGTTTGTGTCTTCTCTTTTTGTCCACGACGGGAAGCTTTTCGCTATTTTCGGCCTCCGAGGGCCCTTACTGGGCCTCGGGACCATCAAACACAACTCAGGATGAAACACTAGTCCCCGGGAAGGGGTCCAGACTTTGAGGGTCACGTCGTGGAAAAATCACGACATCGGGGGTCTGGGTTCATCGAGATCCCTGAGAACAAACCTGGGCCAATTCCTGCCGTTCGCGCGGAAGGAGCGGCCATGCTTCAGGAACTGGGCCAGCTCTCCAGCAGGTTGGTCGAGGAACGCTGGCCAGGTTCATTCAAGGGGATACCCTCCCCCAAGATGCAAAAACACGAAGAACAGTAGGGTACATATACCCGAACCGACCTTGATCGTATAACCCCTAAGGGTCTTCCTTCCCCCCTCTGTTTCTCTCGGCGGGGAATGAAACTCGCCTGTTCCTTCTCCTCCTCGTAGTCGTCGACGCGTCGTAGTCGTAGTCGCACTCGTCGTCGTCGTCGTCGTCGTCGTCGTCGTCGTCGTCGTCGTTGCGCGGCAGGTGCCGCGGAGAAATTCGGCGGCCCAACGGGCCAGAGGCGTGCTAAGATCTCCGGTAACTGCTCAACAATATTTCTAGTTCGCGCGCGCGGGGCGGGCCCTGGGGGTCCCCGGACGAAAAGTACCCCGGCAAGGTCCCAGCAAGGTCCCGGCAAAGTCCCGGCAAGATCCCGGCAAGGTCCCGGCAAGGTCCCGGCAAGGTCCCGGCAAGGTCCCGGCAAGGTCCCGGCAAGCCCTCCAGACGGTCCAAGAGTGCCGGGAGACGCCGAAATATCACTCCCAAACGCCTACGATGGCCTCAAGACGGCCCAACAGGCCTTCAAGACGCCCCAAGAGGTCCCTAAGCGGCGCCCCAAGAGGGCTCCCACAAGCAAAAATCGTGCCATTCCCTTAGGAAAACGTGCATTTTTTACATATCCGCCTCTTCGTCTTTCACACCTTTCAAGGCGGTCCAAGAGGCCCCCAAGATCACCCCAAGACGGCCCGAGAGACCCTCTAGACCGCTCAAAGACGGCCCAAGAGCGCTCCAAGAAGGCCCAAGAAACCCTCAAGAACTCTTTTTCGGAGCCCAGGGGGGCTCCAAATCGGTCCAAGAGGGGCCCGAGAAGCCTTCCAGACGGTCCAAGAGTGATGGGAGACGCCGAAATATCACTCCCAAACGCCTGCGATGGCCTCAAGACGGCCCAACAGGCCTTCAAGACGCCCCAAGAGGTCCCTAAGAGGTCCTTAAGCGGCGTCCCAAGAGGGCTCCCACTAGCAAAAATCGTCCCATTCCCTTAGGAAAACGTGCATTTTTAACATATCCGCCTCTTCGTCTTTCACACCTTTCAAGGCGGTCCAAGAGGCCCCCAAGATCACCCCAAGACGGCCCGAGAGACCCTCTAGACCGCTCAAAGACGGCCCAAGAGCGCTCCAAGAAGGCCCAAGAAACCCTCAAGAACTCTTTTTCGGAGCCCAGGAGGGCTCCAAATCGGTCCAAGAGGGGCCCGAGAAGCCCTCCAGACGGTCCAAGAGAGCCGGGAGACGCCGAAATATCACCCCCAAACGCCTACGATGGCCTCAAGACGGCCCAACAGGCCTTCAAGACGCCCCAAGAGGTCCCTAAGCGGCGTCCCAAGAGGGCTCCCACAAGCAAAAATCGTCTCATTCCCTTAGGAAAACGTGCATTTTTACATATCCGCCTCTTCGTCTTTCACACCTTTCAAGGCGGTCCAAGAGGCCCCCAAGATCACCCCAAGACGGCCCGAGAGACCCTCTAGACCGCTCAATGACGGCCCAAGAGCGCTCCAAGAAGGCCCAAGAAACCCTCAAGACGGTCCAAGAGGCCCCAAGACGGCCCCATGATTGAGGTCCACAGGGGCAACCTGAACGGAAATTTTGAGCCTCCCGCCCAAACACGCCCCCGAAATGCCCCTACAAGCCCCCAAGTAGCCCCACGAAGCCCCCAAGAGAGCCCCAAGAGGCCCCCAACAGGCCGCAAGAAAGCCCCAAGAGGCCCCCAAGAGACCCCCAGGAAGCTCCCAGGAGGCCCCCAAGAGGCCAGGCAGACCCCCCCAAGAGACCACCAAGAGGGCCCACCCAGAGCCATCCACAAGGCCTCCCAAAGTTCCCAAGAAGATCCCACGAAGCTTCCCAAGGCCCCCCAAACCCCCCAAGACCCCGCGATGGCACAATACGGGCCGGCGGAATGAGCGAAGCGATTCAATAACTATCTCCCATTCTTGGTGAGGCCCCAGTCCGCCAATAAGGGCGTCGAACAGTGCATTTTTTTCTACTCTTGGAAGGGGGGGTTCTCAAACCCCTTCGGGGCTACCTCGGTCCGGCCGTATTGGGGAGGTCTGGGCTCTCGCGGGGGGCTGTCGGGGGGGCGCCTCCGTCCGCAGGAGGCACCTGCGAACCCACCCAGCACCGTGCCTGGCCAGGGCCATCCTGGGCCCCAGGACGGTACACACTCCTGCTTCAAGTCAAGAAAATGTGACCTGGCCCTCATTCCAGGCGTTCTCTTAATTATCTTAAACAGCGGTCCAGGCCCAGAGATGCGAGAGTTCAATGAAAAAAAGCTCCAAGAAAACGCCCAGGGTCCAATCCAGGTTCTTGATTCGCGGTTTCTTAAGATGCCTGGTGGGTGTATACGCCCTCCTGGCCGATGCCAGGGAAGGGACGGAGGGAGGCACCCGTGCGGGCGGCCCCGTGCGAGCGGAGAACCAGCTCAGGCGATCTGGCCCGGGGGGCACGTGGAGGTGCATCACTGCCGAAGCCGAGACCAACGACGAAGTGCACAAGGAGCAAGGGGCCCCAGGATGGACTGTTCGCACCCCTGGCCGCGGCCAGGAGTGCCTGGACACCGTCCGCCCTCCTGGCGCCCAGGATGGCCCTGGCCAATCAGGGTTGCGTGCAGGTGCCTTCTGCGGCTGGATTCCACGAGCGTGCGCAGCCGACCGCGTGCACCTATAATGTGTCCGCCCCACGAGAAGCTATTCCTCTCACCCTCCTCCTTCCCTTCCCTGCTGCTCCTCCTCCTCCTCCTCCTCCTCCTCCTCCTCCTCCTCCTCCTCCTCCTCCTCCTCCTCCTCCTCCCTCTCCTTCTCCTCCTCCTCGCTCTGCTCTGCTCCTCCGCCCCCGCCGCGTCGGCGCTGGCTGGCAAGCGCCCTCCCCCCCCCTCCCCGCACGGAAGCCTTTAGTGTACGCGGTGGAGCCGAGGAGCAGCTCGGGGGCGCGGTACCAGCGCGTGGCGACCTCTCCGCCCGACGAGGGAGGGGGTCGTCGTCGTCCTCGTCCTCGTCCTCGTCGTCGTCGTTCTCTCCCACCTCCCCTACCTCTTCATGCTCTCCCCCCTCCTTCTCCCTCTCCTCCTCCTTCTCCCTCTCCTGGTCCGCCTCCTGACACCCTCGCCTCTCCTCCTCCTCCCCCTTGTCTTCCCGGGCCCGCTCCACGGCCGGAGCCAGGGCCAGGGGGGAGGGAGGGAGACAATGTCCCAGACGCGCTCGCGCCTGCGCGGGAACAAAAATCACGACGGAAAGCTTCTTGGGCAGCTGTCGGTCTCTAAGCGCCCACGCCGGGCGCCCCGGGGTCGTCAACAACAAATGGCTCGAATCGAAGAGCTGGCCTGGAGAAACGGTCGAGACTTCCCGGGGCCCCGTAGTGAGCATGTCAGGACATCAGATGTCTGGGGGCAGGATGGCGGCTAAGGAGAACAGCGCGGAGGGGCGGCCACATCATCTCAACGATGACGATACCCCACGATCAAGCCCAGGGCCCAGTGTATGAATCGTTGCCTGGGGCGCTACGGCGTGACAACCCTCCCAGGCACGTCTTGAACGGCACGCTACATCACGCACGGGGGATATCTCGCGGCAAGACACCTGCGGCAGGTCCGTGCCATGACGACTTCTGCGCTGGCCTCTGACACCGCGTGGATCGTTCAGGGCGCTGGCGGGGGGGCCCTTCTCGAGGGCCTGCGCCTTCGAGGGAGCCTGCCCCCCCCCGCAATGCCCGAGGGCTACCGTGCGAAACCGTCCCTCGGACGCCACAGGCGCGCCACCGCAATCCGCCGCGTTGTCAACGCCCTCCCCACGCGCGGCGGGCAAACCCCGGGGGCGAGAAAGACGCAAGCAGCGCGCCAAGGCCGCGGCGCCCGCAGTCCACGCGGCCCCCTCAGAGGGCAATAGCTACAGTCAAAACTAATACCAAGGATGCGCGATAAGGATGCAAGCCCCTTGGACGCCCACGACGAAGCTCTTCGAGCGGGGGTGGCCATCGAAGCGGGTCAGGGATGGACCGAGGAGGCAAGGATGCAAGGGTACCCTTGGAAAACTGCCCGCTCTTGCCATCGATTTCAACCGTAGTCGCTTCGACTTGACGCTGAGTGCTGACCACGCCGCAGAGGAGGACCAGGATGAGGAGGATGAGGAGGAAAAGGAGGAGGAGGAGGAGGAGAAAGAGGAGGAGGGGGAGAGGAGGAGGAGGAGGAGGAGGAGGAGGAGGAGGAGGAGGAGGGAGGAGGGAGGAGGCGAGCGGAGGAGAGGAGGAGAAAGAAAAGGAGGAGGAGGAAGAGGAGGAGGAGGAGGGGAGAGAGCAGCAGGAGGAGGAGGAGGAGGAGGGGGAGAGGGGAGGAGGAGGATGAGGAGGATGAGGAGGACGGAGGATGAGGATGAGGATGATGAGGAGGAGGAGGAGGAGGAGGAGGAGGAGGAGGAGGAGGAGGAGGAGGAGGAGGAGGAGGGGGAGGAGAACGAGGAAGCCCACGGGGCCGCCACCAGAGGGCGGGCCCAGCCCTGGCGCGCGCGCGCGTAAGGTGTGGACACCTCCTGGCGGGAGCCGAGGGGCCGCACGAGAGGCCTGCCGCTCAGCGCCACGGTCGGCGCATTGCCGCGCGCGGCACCTCGCAGGAGGTCGCGTCACGCGCCCTCGGCCTGCGCACGCCCCCGAAGGGTGCTCCCTACCACCGCCTGGCCGCTGCGCCTGTCCGACTCCGGGAGCCCTGCGTCCATAATGGTTCGTGTCTCGCCTCCCCCAGACCGCCTGGTGTTGCGAAAAAAACGCGACGGGAAGTTCTTCGCTATTTTCGGCCTCCAGGGGCCCTCATTGGGCTTTGGGGCCGTCAGAAAACGACTCAGGATGAAAAACAAGGCCCCGTCCAGACTTCTAGGGGTCCACGTTGTGAACAAATCACGACGTCGGAGGTGTGGGCCACTTCCGCCCGACGCGCACTGCCCCAAGGATCCTTCGGCGCAGGACGTCTCGTGGGGGGGAGGCTCTAAAATGCCATGTGGACGGCGAGGGTGCAGGCACTGGGCCAGACCCGAAGTCCAGCGAAGAGCGAGCAAAGGCATGTGCTTATCTTCGTGCCCAAGCTCGGCACATAACGCTTCTCTCCTCATCCTCCTCCTCCTCCTCCTCCTCCTCCTCCTCCTCCTCCTCCTCCTCCTCCTCCTGCTCCTGCTCCTGCTCCTCCCCCTCCTCCTCCTCCTCCGCCTCCTCCTCCTCCTCCTCTTCCTCCTCCCCCTCCTCCTCCTCCTCCTCCTCCGCCTCCTCCTCCTCCTCCTCCTACTCCTCCTCCTCGTCGCTTCTACTTCCACCAACTTCCGCCGAACTTCCGCAGCGGGCTCGCCACCGTCTTGCTTCCGCGGGCCTCCCGCCGAGGGCGAGTCAGCAGCGCCGAGGGCGAGGACGCGGCGAAGGCGAGGCCCTTCCTGGAACGACAGGGATCCTTACAGGGTCCCAGAACCTCCTCCTCCTCCTCCTCCTCCTCCTCCTCCTCCTCCTCCTCCGTCCTCCTCCTCCTCCTGTTCCTCCTCCCTCTCCTCCTCGTCCTCCTCCTCCTCGTCCTCCTCCTCCTCGTCCTCCTCCTCCTCAGCGTCTGAGGACACGGCAGCCTGACGCGAAAGCGAAGGCCTACGCAGGCCACCAGCGGGGCACAGTGCGTGGAGCAAGAGCACGCTCGCACCGCCCTCGTGCGCGCCGCGCAGCCAGCCCCCGTGTTTCTGCGTTGGGGCTAGGTGGGTGGGACACGAAAAAGGGGATCAGGATATCGGCCTGGAATCAGCGATCAACGCGTAGCGAACTCCAGTGACTCCAAACCCCCAACTGTCGACGTCTCACTTTTGCGCTTTTCTTCCGCTGCTTGCCGCCGCTGGACTCGCCCCCCGTCTTACTTCCGCGGACTTCCGGCGCTCTCCCGCCGCCGCCGCGGACGAGGGCGCGTCGAAAACGAGGCCCTCCTGGACGCCGGCACATCGCCAACACATCGTCGATTGGACTCGATGCAGCAGCACGCTCCTGAGCTCGGTGGGGCACGTCCAGCTCAGTCGGCGATGAATGGACAATCCCCCCACCACCACCCATCCCGCACTCGGCGGCGAGCGAGGGGCGGAAACAAGAAGGAGGAAGGATGGGGAGAAAGAAAGAGGAGGAGGTGGAGGAGGAGGGACAAGGCGGTAGAAGGAGGAGGAGGAGGAGGAGGAGGAGGAGGAGGAGGCGGCGGGGCTTCTCAGAAGCCCCGCAGCCTTCCGAGAGGCTTCTTGTGTCCCCGGGTGAGGCCCAGAAAACGTCCCCCAAGGCCAGGCGACTTCCGAGCCTTCCGAGAGGGCCCGGGCCCGCCCTCTCGCACTGCCCCCCTTCGCTCGCCGCCGACTCTTACCCCACCCCCAGTTCGATCCGACTGACTCGGTTCGATCCCGATGCCGATCTGATCGGCCCAGGCCTCCGGCGTCGTGATTTGTTCGCAACGTCGACCCCCAGAGGTCTTCATCCTGAGTGCGTTTTTGACGGTCCCGAGGCCCAGTGAGGGCCCCTGGGGGCCAAAAATAGCAAAGAACCTCCCGCCGTGATTTTTCTCACAGCGCGAGGGGGTCTTGGGATTCGGTCCGATCTCGATTTCGGTTCCGCTTCGGCTCGGTATCGATGCCGATGAACGCGCGCTTTTTCCGTCGGCGGCGAGGCAGATTTGGCTGCACCAGCGACAGAGCTGAACGGGGACACCGAAAAGCGAATTGGACAGACGAACGCACGCACACACACACACACGACTGGCGTGCTACGGTTGAAGGAAAGCATCAACAACGCTCCGACGACAAAAAAGCGATTTCCCCCCCCCCCTCCCCCCCCCGGCCTTCATATTGGAATGCATTGCGATCGAGATCTTTGGCTCAATCTTATTTCTGGCCGCTCATCTTCGGGACCAACTGCTCAACAGTAAGGCCGGGGGGGGGGGCGGAGGGGGGTATTCGAAGTGCTCCCCCAGCTCTCGAGGCACAGCTTTTTCCTTCAGCGGCAACGACCCTCTCCTCGCCGCCCTCTCGACAAGTGTGATACAAAAACAAGCGTGACAAAAGACAAGCGTGACAAAACGACAAGTGTGATAACACAAACAGGCGTGATAAAACAAACTCCGAACAAAAGCGTGATACAACCAAAAGACCCCTGGCCACCTTTTTTGGCCCCCGGGCCAGGGCACGCACCAGTCATCCCCGCCCCCCGCCGGGGGGAGGCCTCGGCGCCCCGCCGGCCGACCCCCGCCCCCTCCTCCAGGCGGGGGCGGACGCCGCCATCGTCCCCAGAACCCGTCGCGCTGTTTGAAAAAATCACGACGGCAGGTTCTTCGCGGCCTGTTTGCTTGCTGGCTTGTTCGTGCGTTCGTTCGTTTGCTTGTTTCCTGACCACAACGGGAAGCTTTTCGCCATTTTCGGCCTCCGGGAGCCCTCACCGGGCCTCGGAAACGTCAAACACGACTCAGGATGACAGGATGAAAAACCAATCCCCGGGAAGGGGTTCAGATTTCTGAGGGTCATGTCATGAAACAAAAAAAAAAAACACGACGTCGGGGGTCTGGGGGCGACGGTGGATGCAGCCATCTTCGGGCGCCGCAGCACCCACCCCGCTCAGAGGGGGTACCCACCTGCCCCCGCCGCGGAAACCTTGGCCGCGCTTGCCGACCTGCCCCATCAAGGCGGGGATGGATGCCCTCATCTTCGGGCCTCGCAGCACCCACCTCGCCCCCAGAGGGGGTACCCACCTTACAGTCAGCGTGCTGCCAGAAAGACCGCATATTAAGGAACGACTGGGGCTTTTCTGGCCAGAGAAAGCCTCGGTCACGGACAGGTTCCCCGACATTGACCCAAAAACGGCCTGAAAACCCGAGCCCCTCCTGAGCCCAAAGCGGCTCTTATTTCAGCGTCTTGACTGCACCCTGTCCCGGTCGGGATTGCGATGGTCCTGAAACTGATGAGTGCCCTCACAGCAAAAGCCCCATGTCTTGTGCCTGCGTCGAAGTACAGCAGGCAAGCGGGCCCAGCGCAGCGGCGACGACCCTCTTCATCCAACATCGCAGCTGTACCTTTGTTTCTGGACGTGGACCCCTGGGATCTCGACACTTTTCGGCTACACGAAAGAGAGACCCTAGGCAAGAGTAACCTCTGGTGCGGGAGGCCAAACCCAAACGCGCAAGCCACTGTCAGCGCATGGCGCTCAACGATCGGCGGACCCCACGTGGGCCCGCTGGCGAAGGGCCGTAACTGGGGAAACCAGAAGATATCGATCCCGATACTCCCTGGACCTATCCCACGGGTGCCTTCTGACTAGAACGCAGAAGCGAAGCCAGCCGTGGCGACGAGGGCCTCCCAGGAGGCCCTGAAAGGCGAGAGCGAGACAAGGGCAGCGGTATCGGTATCCCCTGTCCTCCTCTGAACTCTGACGAATGGTCGACGCTTCCTCGGGGCCGGCTTCCATTTTGGCACCACCGGGGCTGGGAAGCGGCCTCCAGAGGCCGAGAGCACACAAGTGATTGGCCGACACGTGTCTTGTTGCTACGACGCCCTTGATCTCAGGGATGCCCCTCTCCCCCAGCTCGGGACGTAGTCCGTGAGCACCGGGTTCGCGCCCGAGTCGCCCTGCTGAGTGATGCCGCGCGCGAGCCCAAAATCGCAGACCTGTGCAAGGGGGGCGCTCTGAGGAAGGTAGGAGTAAATTTGTTATTGTTCGTGTGTGTGTGCGTGTGTGTGTGCGTGTGTGTGTTTGTGTGTGTATGGGCCCCCTCTCCCCGCTTTCCGTTCTTCTCTTGTCCTCAGAGCGCCTCACAGCGGCCCCGCCTCTGCTTCGATCGCGCCGCGCGCTCGCCAGCATCGCGGCAATGCATGTGTGTATCCCCGCCGCAGTCGCGCCGGGGCTCCTCCTCCTCCTCCTCCTCCTCCTCCTCCTCCTCCTCCTCCTCCTACGTGCATTGCGGCCTTGATTTGCATACAGCGTGTCCACTGTTGCCATTTCGCCGGAGCAGTCACCTTCTGCCCAGCCGCGCGACGCAAAAAATGTGTGTGTGTGTGTGTGTGTGTGTGTGTGTGTGTGTGTGTGTGTGTGTGTGTGTGTGTGTGTGTGTGTGTGTGTGTGTGTGTGTGTTTGTGTGTTTGTGTGTGTGTGTGCGTCTGGTCCCATGACCTTGCAGCGCTTGCACAGGTTCTGTGACGGCCTCCTTCCCGCACGAGTGCCTGGTACCGTTGCCGGGGTTGCAGCTCTCGCAACCCCACTACGCGACTCCTTACTCCTGCGATTGCTTTACCGCGCTGGGCGCGTTCAGTTGGGCTGCCACACCCACCGGCCCGCGCTCCTATGTGCGGTTTTATGTCTCTATCTCTACAGGCCTTGCATTGCATTGCATCATCGCTCCAGCCTGTCCCGAGTGCACCCGCTTCCGCGCTCGTTTTTGTGCCTGTGACCGTCCCCATCCGGTCCACCCATCTGCTTCGCCAGGCGGCAATCCGGCTGAGCGTGACCCGGCTTGGCGCATCGCGAAGGTGTCGTCACCTCGCCGCTGGAGGGACAGAGTGTTGTTCCTTCGCCTCCCCCTCCCCCCTCTCTCCCGCAAGCGCCACCTCCGCGCAGCTGGCCGGGCCCGCGGCGCGGCCAGGGCCCAGGCCCGCGCCGGTTCAGAGCGCCAGGCTCGCCCGATCGGCTGTTGAGCCTCAGGGGCGAGAGGCGTTCGAGACAGCGGTCCGACATCGCACGAGGTGCAGCCCACGCCGAGGGACAGGGAGCCGCCCAGCAGCACACGGAGAGGGAGGGGGAGGAGGATGGGTGGGGGGGAGGAGGAGACTGGGCAGGGGGCGGATCGCGGGGAGAGGCTGAGGAGAACCCAGAGGGGGCTCCAGTGGCACATCTTCGAATCACGGCATGCTGATTGCGCTCCGTCAAGCTGGAGGTGCTCCATGAGCTGCTGTCGGAACAGCGCAGGTGCTGACGGTGCCTCCCGTGATCTGCCGTCCGCCATCCAAGAGCTGACAAAAGGGCACCTTCTGGGAGGGCGGCCTCTCGCTGGTGGGACGAGCTGCCCCTCCTTGGGCCTGCGCGGCTGCGGAGAAGCGAGGGGACAACAGAAGCTCCCGAGCTTGCCATCGCACGGACGCCCCTTTCCCATGCAATTTCCGGTGCCGCGCGTTCATTCCTTCGCAAGATATGACCCAAGGTGCTCCTCGATGGTCTCCCCCAGAAAAAATGCACACGTCCGAGCGATGCCAAGCGAGGGGGGGAGGGGAAGCGGCACGGCGCGAGGTATGCAAGCGTGGAAGGACCGTGCGCGAGGAGGCCAGCTGCGCTGTGCCTTCGCGAGCCCGCCATCGGTCTGCCGATGCTTTCCGTGTTGGCGCCGGCTGCAGTCCGAGGGGGTGCGATCGGAGAACTCGGACCTAGAGCTCCTGCGCTCCGAAAGAATTGGGGCGGGTGGTTTTTGGCGTCCGAAGGCTCTCGCTGGGCCTCGGGAGCGTCAAACGACGACTGAGGACGAAAAACCGGCCCTGGGGAAGCGTCTCACTTGTGCTTACGCTTACGCTGCCTTCCGCCGAACTTCCGCCAACGGACCCGCCGCCGTTTTACTTCCGCCGGCTTCCGCTGGGCTTCCGCCGAGGGCGAAGATGCGCCGAATGCGAAGCCCTTTCCGGAGGGCCAGCACTAAAGGCTGTGCACTCTGTTCCTCGACTTCCGATCTGCAACACCATCAGATCAACGATCGCTAACGGAATGCCGCATCACCAACAGCACAAGCTAAATTCACGCACCCGCGCGCGCACCCCTCTTCGCACGCCCCCCCACGCCACCAATGTCCCTCCCCTCCAGATCCGCGCACACAACATACACAGGGACGTAGATGTGGACACGGACACCGACACGAACACGCACGCTCGTAGACAAACATGTTTGTAGGCTCGCAGACACTCACACGCACACGCCCAGGGGCACTGTTTTACAGGGTGCAGCAGCAGCCCGTCGTCGGGCTCGGGCCAGCGAGCGCACACACTTTTTGGCAGACAGCGGTCTCGCGCGCAGCGACACGGCGGAGAGAATCCCCAAGCAACTCGAGAGCGCGCGCGGCCGGCCCCGCAGAAGATGGGGCAACGCCCACACACACACACACGCACACGCACACTCGCGCAAGAAACAAGGTCGCGTGAATAGGCGGAATGATGAAGTGGCAGATGAGGGGATTGAGGAAAGGGAAGGGGGGAAGGGATGTAGGAAGCGACGGAAGAGAAGGGAAAGACAGGTGGAACGGAAAGTGACGAATGAGGAGGACAAGCAGGACGATCATGCGGACTCGCTTGCTCACATTACTGGGAGGCGACCACCACTTCTGAGCTCTAGCACGCACGGATGATGACAAGAGTCTAGAGGACGGTAAACAGGCTCCGAGATACGACGCCGTGAACGAAAGACATAATTAACGCAGCTGGAAATCACTGCAGGAACTCCCGACGTCTATCACTGTGCTTAGGTCGGGAATGCCGTCCTACAGGCGGACCTGGGGAAACAAATAGTCAAACATAGTCAGCACATAATCAAAAGCATGAGAAATCGTCACCAGACTATGTTTTACAATTCCTGAGTATTCCTCCTCTAGAGGGACGTGCCCGACTTAAGTCTATCACAGCGCGAGGCCTCTCAAGCCGCCTCGACTCGTGAGCGTCCCGAGGGGCCTGGAGCAGAGGAAGCACACGCGAAGCGCACAGGGTCCACGGCGCCCCGACCTGAAGATACCCCGACCTGCGACGCCGCGTTTTTGTTTTCACAGCGTGGACCCTCAGAGGTCTGGACGCCTTTCTCTGGGACCAGCTTGTCCACGTTTATCTAACCGCATGCCGATGATAATAAAGGGACCCCCCCCCTTCAGTGTTTAGAGTTGATTATCGTCGCCCTATACGAAATTCAAATTGGGCGGCGAGCGCTGAGGCCGAACTTCATTATCACCTCGAAACGCTATGTTGAGATAGCAACATCGAGCGATGTTGCTATCCCCGCGCGCGCCTGAACTTTTTTTTTATCTCTGGGGTTGATTATCCATGGAAAGGGGAGCACATGAGCTACCCTACACGAGCACTTAAAACATCAATTTTCATAAAGCGTTTGTAAATCAAACTTGATAGATTTGGAACTTTGGATTTTTCCTTTCTTCGTCCTCTTCTTATTATCCTCTTCTTCTTCTTTCTTAGTATTCTTCTACTGTATTATTCTTCTTTTATATTTCTCTCTGTCCCCACGCTCGCCTGAACTTTTTCATCTCTGGGGTTGATTATCCATGGAATTTGAGGCACATGAGCTACCCTACACGAGCACTTACAAAAAACAATTTTCATAAAGCGCTTGTAAATAAAATCTAATAGATTTGAAACTCGAGATTTTTTCTTCTCTTCGTCCTTCTCCTCCTCCTATCATTTCTTTTATTTTATTCTTTATTATTTTTATTTTTCTTTTTTAATATATATAGCTTCCTCCATTCCAGCGAGATAAGCCATTGTTGATGATATTTCTATGAAAACTAAACGCCAAGGATGTCTCAAAACGTGCTCGGCTTGGTCTCCTCTTGATCATCTCTTACTTCGAGATTATGCTGCGGTCTGCTGGGCTACTTTTATTATCTCTCCCTGAACCCCGAACTTTATTATCCCCTAGTGTTTATTCTCACGGGCATGAGGTTAATAGCTTCGCTCATTCCGCCGGCCCATATTGCCTCGCCGCTGTCGGTTGGCGGGGTGTTGTTGTCAATGCGGTGCGGTTGGGCGGCCGCCATTTTTCGGAGGCGGTGGGTGGCGGGTCAGAGGCCTCTCGGATGTTGGTTGGGCTCTCGTGGTTGGCCTCACAGGGGCCTCTGGGAGGCAATTTTGAGGCCTCTTGGGGGCCGTGTTGGGGCATCTTGGGGCCGCTTGTGGGCCTTCGGGAGCTTCTTGGGGTGCCTCTTGGGAGCCCCTTGGGGCCTCTTGGGGGTCTCTTGGGGCCTCCTGGGGGCCTCTTGGGGCTGAAGGCTGGACTTTTCGGTTCCTGGTCCCCTTCTTGGGCCTCTCTTGGGGCTGTTTTGGGGCTCTCTTGGGCCGTCTTGGGCGTCTCTTGGGCTATCTTGGGGCCACCTTGGGCCGTCTTGGAGCCCTCTTGGGCCCCCTTGGGTGCATCTTTGGGGCATGTTGGGCCATCTTGGGGCGATCTTTGGGGCTCTTGGGCAGTCTTGGACGCTGTGAGCCTCCGAACGTCGTCTATGCCATGAATGTACGTTTACCCCGGGAAATGAAACGATTTTTGCTTGTTGGGGCCCTCTTGGAGTGCCGTCTGGAAACCATCATGGGCGTCTTGGAGCAATCTTTCGGCGCCTCGGGGCCCTTGGACCGTCTTCTTGGGCATCGTCGGCCGATCTTTCCAGGACTCCAAGGGCTCTTGGACCGTCTGGGCGCTCTCTTGAGGCCGTCTTTGGCGCTTCTTGGGCCCTCGGGGGGGCCTCCGGCATTTCTGGCAGGCACTTGCCGGGACTTTTGCGGGGTACTTGTCGCGTCGGGGCCCCAAAGGGCCGCCTCGCGCGCGCGAACTTGTTACGTTGTTAACTTGTTTCCGGAGATCTTAGCACGCCTCTGGCCCGTTGGGCTGGCGAATTTTTCGGCGTTTCGACATTGGGCGGAAGCGGGAGGGGGTGAGGGGGGGGGTCTGGCTCCGGACCTCTGCTTAGCGCGACTGTTTGTAAGAGTGCGACCCCTGGGGGAGACACCACCCGCTCGAAGCAGGAGGCGCCAAAAAACAGCCAAGATCTACTCCAGGGGGTGGGGGGGGTGAGGGGGGGTTTTGGGGCCCGCGCCGATCGGCAAAACAATGAACAACAAAAACGTTCACCTTTCATCCCGAGTCGCTGCTTGACGGGCCCAGGGCCTGGCATGGCCCCCCAGAGGTCGAAGATGACCAAAGAGGCCTGCCGGCACGAGGCGCGAGGGGGTCTGGGTGCAGTGCGCTGGGCGGTGCCGGGCGCTCGCCTTCACCTGGCAGTCGGAGTTCAGCAGGATGTTCGAGGGCTTGATGTCGCGATGGAGCATCTGGCCTCGCGCGCCCCCTGGCTGCACGCGTGCGCGCGTGCTCGGCCTGCCGATCGCCGAGCGCGATGTCGTCGTCGTCGTCGTCGTCGTCGTCGTCGTCGTCGTCGTCGTCGTCGTCGTCGTCGTCGTCGTCGTCGTCGTCGTCGTCGTCGTCGTCGTCGTCGTCGGCGTCGGCGTCGGCGTCGGCGTCGGCGTCGGCGTCGGCGTCGGCGTCGGCGTCGTCGTCGGCAGCTTCGGCCCGAGCGCCCCCCCACCCGAAGGCCGCGCACCGAGAAAACCGCTGCGGCAGAGGGCCTTTCGCCTTGCGTGCCGCCGCGGGCCCGGCGCCACTCCCCGCCTCGCACGGGGCACGGGCCCCCGGCCGCTTCGCGTGACGCCGCAGGTGCCCAGACCCCCTCGCGTGATGAAAAAATCGCGACAGGAGGTTTTTCGTTTATCTTCGGCTTCTGGGGGCCCGCGCCAGGCCTCGGCACCATCAGCAAACAATTCAGGACGAAAAACCGGTCCCGGGGAATGGATCGAGACCCCTTGGGGTCGACGTTATGAAAAATCACGACGTCGGGTCTGGGTAGGGAGCCCACAAAAAACCTTCCACACGAAACCGCACGCTGAGACCCCAGGACATCCATTGACTTTTGGTGTGGGAGCGTCACGCTTTCCGTGGCAAAATCATCGGCGACCCAAGAAACCCAGGGCACCCTTGAAGCAAGCAAGGTGCTCCTTGGCATGGGTATCAACTGCACGCGCATACTCGCGTACGTACTTGCATGCGGCCCGCCGGTCCGCGAGCGAGACCAGCCTCGTGTCACGAACGCTGGCGCAGCGCGTGACCTCGAGACACACGAAAACTCGGGTCCACGTGCGTTTTTCCAGTTTTCTTTTTTCTCTTTGGTGGCGTTTCATCAGGGGGCTTCATCATGGAAGAAAGTCGGCGACTCCAAAGGGTGTGGTTTGCAAAGGGTGTGGTTTGCAACCGGTACCCTGGGGAACATCCTGGGGGGCACCCTGGGGGGCGCACGGGGGCCTCGATAGAGTTCTCCTGCGCCCCGGAGGGGCCATAGCGTCGCCCGCCCCAGGCCCCAACGATGCCGATCGCAAACCACACCCCAGCGTAACCATACTCTTTGTAGTCGCCGAGAGAAAACTGTAGAAAAGCCCAACTGGGGGGCCGGGGGGACGGGGAGCTCCAGACCACCCGGGCTGGCTGCCGTTTTGTCGGAGACTTCCCAGACATCCGGCTGCTTCAATTTTCTCGGTGCGTGGGCCCCAAAGGTCCCGACTACTTCCCTGGGGGCCGGTTTTTCGTCCCGTGTCGTTGCATGACGCTCCCAATCGCTGCCCGGCGAGAGCCCCCGGAGGCCGAAAACGGCCCAAAGCCGCCCGCTCCAATTCTTGCGAATGTCGGATCTCCAGGCTCCGCACAAATTATGCAAGACTCGGGCTCTCGCCCTGATGCTGGCTACATCTTTGGCCCGCACGGCCACGACCCCGCGTAAAAAAAATTCGCCAAGGGGCACGTGCTCTCGCCCCTGCTCCGGCTGCATACTTTCTGTCTCAAGGCTTCCGGCCGTTCTTCTCCTAATCCTCGACCCGCCTCTGCGCATTCGTTGTTGATGTTTCTCTTTTGCGTGTTGCTCTTGCTGTTGTTATTGTTTGTGTTTGTTTTTGTTTTGGAACTGGAAGTTGTCGCTTTGTTTTGGGCGGGGGCCGAACGAGGGCCCAAACGACGAGCGAAGCGAGGGCCGCAGGCGGCGCACAACGCGAAGGGACAACGAGACCGACAGAGCAAGCGCGATGGGACATTTTTTGTTGCGACACGCGCGCAGAGCGAGCGGTCATGCGCCTCGGCGGCGCCGTGCCCAGCTCAGGCGCGTGCGCCTAATTAGGGGTGGAGGGGGGGAAACCGCCACACACGACCCGCACATGGGAGTGCAGGACTGGGCGTGTGGCGGGCAGCTGCCTCCGCGACCACCATTGGCAACACACCGCATGACGGGGCGGTGCCACCCAGGGCCCAGGCAGCACGGCTCGCCCCCGTAGCGGCGATTTTTCAACGCAGACCAGCGCAAATCTTCACCTCTGCTGATGTTGGTGTGCGTTGCCGGGGTGCTTCTTCCGCCCCTGACCAGGGGCAGAAAGGGGGGAGGGTGGGAGGGTGGAGGCGACTCTCCCGAGCGCAGGCGCCTCGCCACCATCCCCAGCCCCAGGGGGCGAGGACAACGCGCGCCAGGGGCCCCGCACAGTGAACGGCGGGGTCGGATGGGTTGGCTGGTTGGGGAGACGGAGAGAGGGGGAGGCGGAGGATGGGTCAGGGGGATTGGGGAAGGAGGAGGAAGAGAAGAGGGGGGGAGGGGCAGGAGAAGGTGGAGGGGGACAAGGGGAGGTGGAGGTGGGAGAAGGGGAAAGGGGAGGGCAAAGGAGGGGGAGCAGGAACGGGGACCCCATCGTGGAGCCCTGTCTGGCCCTCAACGCGGCCATAGGATGCGTGCGCTGCGCTGGAGGGGGGGTGCTAGAGCGCCGGCCGAGAGGGCTTCCAGCAGCCGCGCCCACAGAGCGTGCCACAACGCAGCGATGCTCATGGATGAAAGGAGGACGACGGGGAAGCTGAGGAGGAGGAGGAGGAGGAGGAAGAGGAGGAGGAGGATGAGGAGGAGGAGGAGGGTGAGGAGGAGAATGAGGAGGAGGATCAGGAGGAGGATCAGGAGGAAGAGGAGGAGGGGGAGGTGAACCAGAAGATGGAGGAGGAAACAGGGAGGAGGAGGAGGAAGAAGAGGAAGAGGAGGAAGAGGAGGAGGAGGAGGAGGAGGAGGAGGAGGAGGAGGAGCAGGAGCAGGAGAATGAGCAGGAACAGGTGGAGGAGGAGGAGGAGAAGGAGAAAATTCGCCGGCCCAACAACAAGTTAACAATTTAACAAATTCGCCCGCGCGAGTCGGCCCCTGGGGGTCCCGACGCGACCCCCGCCAAAGTCCGGGCAAGTGCCCGCCAGAGATGCCGGAGGCCCCCCAGAGGGCCCAAGAGGCGCCAAAGACGCCTCAAGAGAGCGCCCAGACCGTCCAAGAGCCCTTGGAGTCCTCGAAAGATCGGCCCACGATGCCCAACATGGTCTCCAGACGGCCCTTGACGCCGCCGAGAAACTCCAAGAGAGGAGCCTGAAGAGGCCCTCCCAAAGGGCCCCAACAAACAACAATCCCATGTCCTTCGGAAAACGTGCACTTCTGGCATAGACGAAGTTCGGAGGTTCACAGCGTCCAAGCCTGCCCAAGAGCCCCCCAAGATCGCCCAACATGCCCCCAAGATGCGCCCAAGAGGGCCCAAGAGGGCTTCAAGACGGCCCAAGAGGGCCCCAAGACGGCCCAAGATGGCTCCAAGACAGCCCAAGAGGCGCCAAAGACGGCCCAAGAGAGCCCCAAGAGGGCCCCAAGAGGGGCCCAAGAAGGGGACCAGGAACCGAGAAGTCCAGCCTTCAGCCCCAAGAGGCCCTCAGGAGGCCCCAAGATGCCCCCAAGAGGCCCCAAGGGGCCCCCAAGAGGCACCCCAAGAAGCCCCAAGAGGCCCCCAAGAGGCCCCAACACGGCCCCAACACGGCCCCCAAGAGGCCTCAAAACTGCCTCCCAACCAGCATCCGTGAGGCCTCTGACCCGCCACCCACCGCCTCCGAAAAATGGCAGCCGCCCAACCGCACCGCATTGACAACAACACCCCGACAAACGACAGCGGCGAGGCAATATGGGCCAGCGGAATGAGCGAAGCGATACAATAATTACCCTGTGACGTACCCAACCCATTTGTATCAATGGAAACGAGGAGTTGGCCGAAACTTGCATGGTCAATCAACTTGATGTGTAAGCTACTTGGGACACGCGCATATGGCATGATGCGCAGGAGAACCATACAAGAACGAGGGGCGACAGCTACAGGCTCGAAGAGGACATGGGGAGTCGGGAACGCAGAGCAGGAGAAAAACGTGCGGGAAGCCGAACCGTCAGCACGGCAGCAGCAGAGGGAAGGTGACTGCAGGAGGAGAACAAGGACGAAAGCGGCGTCTAATTTGAGTCTGCGGTGGGTACCCACTGTGCTGTGCCCCTCAGCAGCCCTCGAAAGTGGCGACAGTTTCACAGATCGCATCCCCCCAGGGATGGCGAGGTCTAATTTGAGTCCGCGGTGAGTGCCCACTGTGCTGTGCCCCTCAGCAGCCCTCGAAAGTGGCGGCAGTTTCACAGATCGCAGCCCCCCAGGAATGGCGAGGTCTAATTTGAGTCCGCGGTGAGTGCCCACTGTGCTGGGCCCCTCAGCAGCCCTCGAAAGTGGCGACAGTTTCACAGATCGCAGCCCCCCAGGGATGGCGAGGTCTAATTTGAGTCCGCGGTGAGTACCCACTGTGCTGGGCCCCTCAGCAGCCCTCGAAAGTGGCGACAGTTTCACAGATCGCAGCCCCCCAGGGATGGCGAGGTCTAATTTGAGTCCGCGGTGAGTACCCACTGTGCTGGGCCCCTCAGCAGCCCTCGAAAGTGGCGACAGTTTCACAGATCGCAGCCCCCCAGGGATGGCGAGGTCTAATTTGAGTCCGCGGTGAGTACCCACTGTGCTGGGCCCCTCAGCAGCCCTCGAAAGTGGCGACAGTTTCACAGATCGCAGCCCCCCAGGGATGACGAGGTCTGATTTGAATCCGCGGTGGATACCCACTGTGCTGTGCCCCTCAGCAGCCCTCGAAAGTAGCGACAGTTTCACAGATCGCAGGCCCCAGCAGCCCTCGAAAGTGGCACAGGGATGACCAGGTAGGAGGCAGGCTGGCACGCAGCGACGAGCGAGGTAAAAGGCAGGGGGGAAGGAGGGAAGGAAGAAGGGAGGGAAGGAGACGCGCGAGCAGTGCTCTATTCAAAACGAGAACCCAACGCAGGAGGGTTGGGAATAATACGACGAAGACGGGAGGGAGCAGAAGGGGCCGGAGCATGAGAAGCAGGATCAAGCTCCATTTGATTATCTTTCACATCCACCCCCTCTCCTCCTCCTCCGCCTCCTCCTCCTCCTCCTCCTCATCATCATTATCCTCCTCCTCCCGCCCCTGGCGCTCCGCCTCCTACTCCCTCCCCTCATTCTCTACCTCCTACTCCCTCCCCTCATTATCTTTCCCCGTACGCCCTCCCTCTCCTCCTAACCCTCATGATACTTTCCATCCTCCTCCTCCTCCTCCTCTTCCTCCTCCTCCTCCTCCTCCCCTTATGGTCGCCCTCCCTCCCCGTTCCAGAGTGCATGTACTTCAGCGACTTCAGCAGCTGGTAGATGATGTACTGCTTGTGAACGTCCTCGAGGCGTGAGGGGATCCACTACGGGCGGAGGCTGGATGTCCCGCGCCAACTGGATGTCCACTTCTTTTCATCATCATGCCTCATCCTCCCCCTCTCGCTTCTCCTCCTCCTCCTCCTCCTCCTCCTCCTCCTCCTCCTCCTCCTCATCATCATCATCATCCTCCACATTTCCTCCTCATACGCCTCCCTGGACCGCAGTCCTCTTGGACTCCTCCCCCTCCTCCTCTGCATCCCTCTTCTGCGTACCTGTGAGATCATGATCCTTATCTCCTCCTCCACCTCATCCAGCTCTCCCCTACTACCTCCCTATCTCCCCTCCTGCCTCCCTCTCTCCTCCTCGACCTCCTTCTCCTCCTGCGCGACCAAGCATCTCTGCTCGGCAACATCAGCTGATCGGAGTCCGATTCCGACCGTTAGGGTCTGCCCGCCCGAACCTTCGGTTTGGGTCCTGTTGCCCGACCCGCTGGTCTGATCCCGTCGGAGTTCATCCAGGAACTGGCAGGAAACAAAAGGAGCCCCCCCCAAGGAGGCACACTCATACACGACGAGGGCGGGAGTCCCTCCTCCTACTCCTCCTCCTCCTCCTCCTCCTCCTCCTCCTGCTACTGCTCCTCCTCCTCCTCCGCCTTGTCGTTGCCCTCCCGCTCCCTCTTCGCCTCCTCCTCCTTCTGCTTCTGCTCCTCCTTCCTCTCCTCATTCTCCTCGCGCTTCTCGTCGTCCCTCTCCGCCCGCTCGTCCCGCCCACCGCCCTGTCCTGCAAGATGTTGGCACGGATGACGGCGTGCAAATCCGACTCCATGTAGTCGCAGATGAGGTAGATGTCCTTGCCCGGGCCCCCCCCCTGTGCGGCTCCCGCGGCCTGCCTGCGCTCTCGGGCGCGTGCCTCGTGATGTGGCCTCGGTCTCATACCGGGAGAGACGAAGTCCAGCTGACGACCCCTTTTTCTGCGTCGCCCACCTGGAGGCCCAGAAGATGGAGCCCCTTGGTTCCAAGCGGACTTGCCTGAACTGGGCTTCCAGCTGATCCCAGCTGAAAGCCACGCGAGAGGAGGCCAATGCTCGCTGAAGTCCCACCAGGCGGATCTCCTTGGCTCCGACTGGGCTTGCCCCAACTCGACTTGGCGTCGCCCGGTCCCAAAGACTGGAGAAGGACTGATATGGCAGCCTCCAGAAACCCTTGGTACGCTGGCGCTGGCCTCTCAAAGTGGGGCGAAGCGCGCAACTTTTCGCAAACTGCCGCCAAACCTACGCCGTCAAAACCGCCCTCGCGTTACTCCCACGGGCATCTGGCTAACTACGACATATCAACATATCGTTCCGTCGGATGCGAAGGCGATGCTGTCTTCAAAGGCGACATGCCAACATATCGTTTCGTCGAAGGCAAACCCCTCTCTCTGAATATAGATAGATAGATAGATACATATATATAGATAGATATATAGATATATATATATATATAGTAGATAGATGGATAGATATATAGATAGATAGATAGATAGATATATAGATAGATAGATAGATCGATATATATATATATATATACACATATATATAGATATATAGATATATATATATAAAAAGATATATATATATATATAGACATATATATATATATATATATGTATAGATAGATAGATAGATAGATAGATAGATAGATAGATAGAAATATGAATAGATAGATAGATAGATATATAGATAGATAGATATACTTGCTGGTTTTGAGTGGTCTTTCTGCGCATTCGGTATTTTGAATTCCCCCTAGCAGCCCCCCATGCCCCCCCGTCGTCGTCCTCCTCTTCCCTCTCTCCTCATCCTCTTCATGCATATTGAATCGTTACTACTACTATATCCATTCACCTCTCGTCCTCCTCATCATCTCCCTTTTCTTCTTCTTCCTCATATTCCACCCTCCGCCCCATTCCCTCCTCGTCCTCATCCGTCCATCCTCGTCCTCCTCAGTCACCCTCCTTCCTCCCTCTTCCCCCATCCATCCTCCTTCCTCCTCCCCGTATTCTAAACCACTCACGCCGTAAAAGGCCCTAGGGAAGTTCATGGAGGAGGGATGGAGGAGGGAGGAGGAGGAGGAGGAGGAGGAGGAGAAGGGAAGAGGGTGGAATACGAGGAGGAAGCCTCCCCCCCTGCGCACGCACAGCAGGTAGGGCGATGATGATGAACGACGTAGACCGACGACGACGACGACCGACGAAGACCGAAGACGACGACGACGACGACGACGACGACCGACGACGACCGACGACGACGACGACGACGGACGACGACGACGACGACGACGACGACGACGACAACACCGACGGGCGACGACGACACCGACGACAACGACGACGACAACGACGGACGACGACCGACGCCGGCGGTGGCAGCGGCAGCGCCGGTGCAGGTGTCCATGGCAAGGCCTCTACGTGTGTATATATGTTATTATCGTATATTCATGTGCTTGCATATCAGTGGTGTATACATGCCCATATGTACAGATCTATAGGTATATAGGACGTGCATCATGATTGTAGTTCACTCTTATATGTTGGTGAATGTGTCTTTCTGCCGATACCATCATATATATATAGATATACACGTACCCAGTGTGCGTAGATACATGCATTGCTTATCATAATGTCGACTACAATCCAATTCGCAATCATCGTTAGCACGTATGGTTATCGTCGTCCTCACCGCTTTGAATTATCGCCCCGAACAACAGCATCATCATCAGCAACAAAACCATCATCATCAGCAGCATCACCATCACCACAGTTATCACCAACATACAGGATACATATCTATGTGTTCATCACTACCGCAATCACCAACATGGTCATCACGCGTATGATAACACATCATCCAACACCATCCCAACCATCATCCTACATGTAAGGATCATCAACACCACCGTTCACATCATCGTCATCGTCCTCATTAACCTTGAGCATCATCATCGTCGTCATCATCATTATTACCATCAGCATTCACCTCATGGTTTTCACCATCATCAATCATTGTTCTTATCATTCGTTGCGTCATCAACAGGATCACCAACATCATCACCATCATCATTGTCATCATCATCTTGATCACCATCACCAAAACCATCATCATCAGATCACCAGCATCATCAATACCATCAGCACCATCACCAATACCATTTGCACCATCATCAACACCATCAGCAAAACAATCCTCACCATCATCAACATAACTATCGCCACCATCGCCATCGTCCAAATCACCATCATCAATAACATCGGTGCGTGCATTGAATTGTTGTTCGGCGATGACGACGAGGATGATGATATGGATGTTTAGCACCTTCCTTTACGGCACCACCCCCAACAGGCGCGCGATCTTACATGCATACAGATACTACTAGCAAGCAAAGGCCTCCCTATCTTAGCCGATCAAATCAAGATCAGATAACAGTTCCTGCCGCGCTGCTTCGGCGGCCTCACGTGCCATCAAAGTCCTCGGGCTAGGGGGGGGCGCAGGCGGCCTCGGAGGCCGTGGCAACCATTCGATCCACCAGTCCCAATGGCCAGGCGGGTCGCGCGGCTCTTTCACATACCGGCCGTAAGCCCGATGCACATCCAGCTCACGCCATTGGCCCTTGAAGATGGAAGGCGCAGTCCAATGCCCCTCCTCCCCCATACCCTTGCACCATTCGAAGCAAGGGGCGGGCGGGCGGAGGAGGAGCAATGGCACGCGCGTTCAATCAAAGGCCTGACGCAAATACCTCGCGATAAGGATGTCGATTCCCCACGACCTCTACGAGCGGCACGTGTTGGCCATCTCCCTCAGGCCCATTGCCACCAGATTCGCGCCCTAATGCAAGGCCACTGGGGATGCCCCCCCCGCGCGATCATCACATCATCATCATCATCATCATGATCATCATCATCATCATACCCCTCCCCCGCCACCGCCGCCATCGATCACTGTGCCGCCCCCCTCGCCCCTGGGTTATTATAACGGGCCGAATCCTTGGAAGCGACGTTTCGCCTCCTTGCTGGGATGTGCACTTCGGGGCGCCACTCGGGGCGGCACCGCATGGCGGGGTATATTATTCTCCCTCGCGGCGCTGACGACTGGCCCTGCATGTCCTCGAGCCTCCCGCGGCTCCACCGCCAGCGGGTCGAGAGAGAGTGGGGGTGGTAAGGGAGCGAGCGATCGATGGCGACGACGATCGACAACGACGACCCCCTGACTTGTCCTGGAAGGCGTTCTGGCCAGCAGAGTTTCGAAGGAAGTCCAGCCGCAGCGACGACGATCTTCCAAGAGGCCAAATGAAAATCACAAAAACGACGATGCGCGACGACGACGACGTTGGACGACGATGACGGTGCCTCGCCCTCCCCGCTCCTGTTCTGCACGCAGGATTTCAATCGCGCTTGCTTGGTTGCAGGCTCTTGGGTAAAATGCGCTGGCTCAGGCATCGGGCATTGCATGGAGAAGTGGGTGGAGGAAGAGGAGGAGGAGGAGGAGGAGGAGGTGTTTTAAAAGGATGGGGACCCGGAGGAGGAGGAGGAGGAGGAGGAGGACGAAGGAGGCGAGGAGAAGGCTGACGCTACGCAACTAAGGAGGTGAGAAGGAGGAATGCGAAGGAAGGTCAGGAGCATTACGAGCTACAAAGACTGGAGATAGACTGAAGCACAGTCTGACCAGCATTAAACAAGTCCACCCAGCACTTGATTTAAACCACAATGTAGCTATGTAGCTGCCCAACACTTGCAGCGCAGAAGAAAAGCCTGATGTCGAGTTAAACCACCCCGTCGTTAGATATGCGTGCTGCGGGCCGCCGCAGCTAGAGTCGATAATCGAGCGGCACCACGCTCGAGAGGTTAGGCTAGGCTTCGGCGGCGGCTCGAGCTAAGCTGAAGCAGCAGCGCGGCGCCAGCGGCGCCGGCGGCAAGAGCGACCTGGCAACTAAGCGCCGGCGGATGCGAGCGTGCCACTGTCGGCGCTCTCAGCGCCATCCTCTCCCTCGGCGCCCTCAGCAGCCGCCAACTGCTCGAGCAACTTCTGCTTCTTGGTCTTCTTGCCACCACCACCCTCGGCGCCCTTGCCGGCGGGGGCCGTGCGCTTCCTGATCCGATTCGGATCCCCCCCAGGAGAAGGTTTGTTGTCATCGTCGGCGCCTAGGATCTCCACCAAGCCACTCTGGTATAAGCGATTGCCCTCGGTCCAGAACAGGTCCCACACGCGCTTCACGAGCTGGGCCAACATCACGTCACGATGCGACTATGAAAACACGAATACGACGCATGGAACCTTCATCTTCAAGCGCGCGAAGGGGCCCGTCTCGTCCAAGGCCGTTGCAAACGCCGCCTCGTTAAGAAAGGAGGCGGAGGAGGGCGACGACGAGGAGGGCAAGGGGGGCGAGGAAGAGGGCGAGGCCGAGGAGGACGAGGATGAGGATGAGGAGGGTGACGATGAGAATGAGAAAGAAGGAGGATGAGGATGAGGAGGAGGAAGAGGAGGAGGAGGAGGAGGAGGAGGAGGAGGAGGAAGAGGAGGGGAGGGGGGCGAGGAGAGGAAGAAAGATGAAGAGCATCAAAAAAGAAGGAGGACGAGGATGAGGAGGAGGAACAGGATGAATATATTATAGGGGTGATACGGGAACAACAAGGGAGGATAAGGAGGAGGACGGAGGACGAGGATGAGGACGACGATAAGGATGAAGGAGCAGGAGGGCGAAGAGCGAGCAGGAGGAGGGAGGACGAGGAGGAATAGGTAAGCCCACGCACCGCAGTCAGACCGAAGCTGTGGATCATTTCCTCGATGAGGGCATCGCCAGCGCAGTGCCAGTTCACGGGCTCCAGGCCGTCTGTAAACTCAGGCTTGTCGTAGGTTTTCTTCTTCTCCCCGTCGTCGGTGTTGATGATCGCCCCCGGCCCCGTCTCAGCAGAGGCTGGCCCCCCAGCTGGGACTTTGCCGCGAACGCCGAGCAGCTTGGACTTCTGGTCCTTCGGGATCCGCCAGGTTTCCGTATACTTCGGCAATGCGGCGGGGCCGATGTGGTTCCCGGCGGTCGACCCCGTGAAATGCTTGCGTGGCTTGGCCTCGCCAGTCATCTAGCAGTGCGGGATGCCAGTGTAGACGTGCATCATCTCGATCTGTGGGACGATCCCACGCACCGTTGATTTGCGGGCCGTGATGGAAGCTTCTTCGTACATGACGTAGAACGTGTCCTTGAATTTCTTGTCCATGTGCTTGGTGTCATCCTTCACGAAGGCTTCTGCGATGGCCCTGTCATTGCCGTGGCGGCCAGCGTCGAACACGAAGAACATGAGTTGCGGGTCGATCGAGCCAGGGTCGCCCCGCGCCGCGCAGGTGGCCTTCACCCGCTTCTTCAAGCGGTCGTTGCGGAACCGCGGGGGCCGCGCGCGCGGGGTGGAGTCCGATTCCCCAGCGGAGGTGGTCTGGTAGAATACGCCGATGTTGCCGGAGCGGTCCTTGTCGGCGAGCACGGTGCCAGCGAGGTGGTCGCACTCCAAGCCGGCGCTGTCGTCCTCGACCACGAGCTTCACGAATTGGCGCACCGTAGACTCGGCGAACTGCAGATAGTCCTGCAGCTTCCCATCAGAATCAGCAGTCTGCTGCTGCTCAGTGACCACCAGCGAGATGTCGATCCCGCGCGAAGCTGCCACGGGGGCCAGCGTCGCCTGAGGCGGGGCTGGCAGATCGCAGCAGAGCACAGCACAAGAAAAAGGGGGGGTGTAGGAGGTTAAGTTAGGGGGAGGAAGGGGTAGGTAGGAGGAGGGGGGAAGTGTGGAGTGGTGAGGAGGAGGGGCAGGATGAGGAGGAGGAGGAGGAGAAAGAGGAGATATCAGGGGGCAACAGACAGGCAGGCAGCAAGTGGATGCCCTCCCGCCGAGACAGCGCTATTAATATCCAGTGGTTGCCTGCTCATCCTGCCAGCTTGCCTGGGCTGTTGGCCAGATCTCGGCTTGGAATGCATATCGGGGACCTCTTGAATACCGATTCGAACCCACCGGAAGCTCATTGGAGGGGCTTGTTGGGGCCTCGCAGGCGTGTCGCAGGGCATGGGCTGATGGTGCTCGTGGGGGCCTCGTCGGGGTGCATATAGGGCATATGGGGGGGAGGGGCTCACAGGGCCTCATCATCATGCTGCCAACTAACAACTATCTCACTTGCCCCACGAGGCACGATTACCTAGCCCCATATGAGCCATTCCTAGCAATCGACACCCGCACAACGTATAATCATGTTATCATGGTGTGATGATAATGAAATGTCAATACTTATATCCCCAAACTCCATCCCCCCCAACTCGGAGAAAATAAATAGAGGTAGCTTCTTTGAGCCAGCCTGAGGCCACGGAAGATCATCGGAAGCGAAAGGACACCCACGTGACTTCGCCCCATCTTCTAGCTTGTCCGAGGGGTTCTCAAGAAAGCATGCAGTAGCACCACAATTATTGGAACCCGCATTCGTCGTTCGGGAGAGATACCTACCCATGATCAGGCTGGCGCGCCAGCAGCAAAATACATACCATGCGATGCAATCCAAAGGTCTCTTATTTTTAACGCAGGTCCCACCACCAAAGAGACCCCTCCCCCCAAGAGCCCGCAAGCCATCAAGACGCTCAAGGGAGGCTTCCCAAGCAGCCCAAGAGTCCCAAGAGCCCCCCCCCCCCCCCCCCCCCCCCCCCCCAAGCAGCAGCAAGAGACCCCCCCATCGCCCTGTTAGCGTAGGCCCAAGGATCATCACCAAGCACCCCCAACCTCGCCGGCGGCATTGCGGTACCCAAGACTTTCATCGGCGGCACAGGCGCGCGCCTTCCCTATCGCCCGCGTGATCCCTCCCCCCTCTTCCAATTCCATTGCTTGTTTCCCTGTGTTGTGTGATCTCTCCAACTCTCTCTACTTCATATATATTTATGTATCTCCATCTCTTTCTCTCTCTCTCTCTCTCTCTATATATATATATATATCTGTCTCTCTCTATGTCTACTTCTATCATATATATATATATATAGATGGTCGGCATCACTCTGTATGCATATATACATATATATCCTTGATTGGGCTGCCCATGTATTTGACTGCCCTCTGGCGGTGGGCGTGCCCATGATGATGAAGGTGATGGTGAAGATGGCAATGGTGACATTGAAGATGATTTTGAGGATTACTTTGAGGATGGCGATGATGATGAGGGTCAGGACGATGAGGGTGATGATGGTGTGGATGTTGGTGAGGATGATGTTGATGATAAGGATGGTGATGGTGACCATGATGCTGCTGATGATGATGATGTGTATAATGATGATGGTGGTGATGATGATGTTGACGATATTGTTGATGACGGTGCTGGGGATGATGCTGATGATGTGGGTGATGATGGCGATGATGGCGACGATGATGGTGATGATGATGCTGAGGGTGCTGGCGAGGAGGGGGGAGGGAGGGAACCCAGCCTGCCTGCGACTGCTGTGCCATGCTGGCATCGGCGGGGTGATCGATGTCTAACTCGGCCTCGATCGCATCCATGGCGTCCTTGATAGGGCCCGACTGACGGCCTCTGAGATGCTCTTGCAGGCCCGGAGCATGCCTTTGAGGTGCCCGTCGTACGTGACACCGAAAACCGTCGAATCGATCAGCGCGAACAGCATCCGCCCGCTCTCAGACAGCGTGCCCAGCCACGTAGTGTCCACCTTGGTCGAGTTGTTCTTGAAGCCGTAGTTCTTGCGCCACCAGCTGTGGCTGTCGGCGAGGGCAATCGCGCGCTTAGTAGCGTCGTCGAACCTGAAGGCATTAATGTACACCGTGCGGAAGTGCTCCAGCAGCTTCTGCTTGTAGAGGAACAGATCCAAGGTCCCCTTGTTCCCACTGCCCTTACCAGTAAGCGTGCGAATAGCGAACTCCCCTGCCGTCGTGTAGCCGGACTCGATGCAATCCATCATGGAGGCCACCATCCAGACGACGGATACCGGCTGCTTCCCCTTCTGAATGATGGCCTGCAGCTTGAAGATCGAATCGAAAGGGGTCTTCGAGGTCCCCTCGCTTTCAGCTGCCAGAATGATTTTACGGGCAGCCTCGACCTTGAAAATCGACTCCCACACTGCCACGGCTGCCGTAATGCACGTGTCCGTCACGGCCTCCGAGACGGTGGCCATCTGGACTTCTTGTTCCCAGAGCTCCTTCATCTGCACGGGCTTGATTTTCCCGAGGATCTTCTTCTTCTGCGCCAAGGCTACCAACTCGAACACGCGTTGGGTGGGCGTTCTAGCCACCACAGCGTTCAGGCCAGTGATGCGCTCACGAGCGTTGACTTGCTCGAAGAACTCCTTTTCCGAGCTAGAGATCACTTTGAAGTGGAATGGCATGCATAGCAGCATGGTCTTCATCCGCTCGATGTCATCGCCCGACGCATCGTCGAGGCAGTCCTGGAGGGTCGGGGGTGGAAGGGATGCAGGGTTTGTTTGAAGATGTCCCGAGCGAAACGTTCATTTTGCAGAGTGGGGCGTTTCGAGACAGGTGCAACTTGCATTTAGTTGATGTCTCGCGCGAAAGGCTCGCCCTGCAGGTCGCGCAGAGGGGGTCTCAAGCGAAGCGCTTGTATCGCAGGATGCGCCGAGGACGTCTCGAGCGAAACGCGCCATTTTATTTATTAGACTACGTAAGACTCTACTTATATCACACATGTTGTTGAGGATTCCTCGAGCGAGCCGATCTTTCTGCAGGGTTTGTTGGGGGTGTCCGTGGCGGAACAACATGCGAGGTGCACCGCCCCCTCCTCCTCCTCCTCCTCCTCCTCCTCCTGATATTGCGTTGGTCCTTCATGCGCGAGATCATGGCGTGCTCGGGCTCCTCGGGCTGACGCGCTGGAGGCCCCCAACGTGCGCGTCGATGTTGTAGTTGGCGGCGGGCACTGCCACCATCGCGTCGAAGGGGTAGATGCTCGGCCAAGGGAGGCCGAAGCACTGGCGCGACAAATTGGCAACAGCCCCACGGTTGATAGGCACGTTCTTCACTACGTTTGAAGAGAAGCTGATCCAAAAGAAAGAAGCCGCGCACTTGTAGTTGCCAGTCCTCGCCAAGGCTCCGACGGCCTCCTCCGTGGAGAAGATTGCCTGCAAGGGAGCATGCGACATTGTCTCGGCCGATGCCCCCAGGGCCCCCAAGTAGACGAGGGGGGGAAGTTGACGTTGGGCCAGGGCTCGCCCTGAGGGGCTCCTAATAATTAATTAGGGGTTCGGGCGGTTGCATTCGTTGGGAACGACGTTCCCAGCAGGCCTGGCTACCGAAGCCGCCCTCGATCCCGCGCGGGGCCATGTCCTTGATGCCGACCATCCTCGGGTGCTCGATGATGTAGTCGAGCGCCTGATCGACCTCGTGCAGGTGCTCTGCGTTGACGTTCGGGATGCCGTCCAACGAGCCAAGGTCGCTCATGTAGTAGGTGCGGGCCCGCGCTGGCCCTCCGGGAGACGGCGCCATCAGATCCCTGGCGACATCTCCTCTGTTCCATATCAACTCGCTGTCCTCGAAGAGGGGAGCCACGTCTTCGGCGTTGGCCACGCTGCCAGCGGCCAGGGCAGCAGCGAGGGGATAATGACGCGCCTCCAACGACGCAACGGTGGGAGCACCACCCGCTTTAGCCACGGGGGCCGCCGGCCCCGCCCCGGAGGAGCCAGGAGGAGTAGCGGCCGCAGGCGCATCCGCTGGCGCTGCAGCGCCACCACCACGTGGTGCCGCCTGCCTCGGCGCTCTCGCCGGCCTAGTAGGGGGGGCACCACCAGCAGCCTTAGCAACCTTGCCCATGGTGCCACTGGCAAGTGGCGGCGGGTAGGGCACAGCACGTACAAGCGACAGGTAGTCAGTAGGTGGGCGATTTCCTGAAAATCCTGAACCAGCTGTACTACGGGGAAACACGTGGGCGCATGTGGATGCCCCCGTTCTCTCGACAAAGACGAGATATATACATATGTATGCAATTTCTCTGCCCCCTCCGCCTCATCTTATTCATATCCCTTCACGTCCTCCACTTATTTCATCCTATCCTCATCCTCGTACTCCCCCTCCCCCCGCATCATCCTCATCCTCCTCATCGT